GTTATAACTTGTACGAAATAATTTTTAAACAGAAGAATTAATGAAATATATATTTTTTTAAGTTAGCCATGTATTTCTTATGGGACAAATTGTGATAACAGTTTGTTTGGAACTCATCGTGTTATCATAAAAGATAATGACGTCACACTATTCTGGTCTATTTAGGCTGAATTTATTGATGGCGAGGGGGGAGGAACGCGCAGTCCACCTATATTATGTCTATGGTTTTGATGGGCTGTCTCGCAACCATGGTATGTATATAGCCGTGACAAAAAGTAACCCATTGTATTTATAATTCAACACTGGATTAATCCAGGGGTTCCTAATTAATATTTTAAAAACGACACATTATAAATTCAGAAAATTTCCAAAGTAAKTAAAAATACAATACAAATAGAAAAATTAAAATTAAAATTAAACTCATATATTTTAATTCACAATAAAAATAATAATTAAAAAAATAATATCTTATAATGGTCAGTTAAAATTAGTCCATATAGGCCTATTTGTCCATTAAATGATCCTTTCCAAGGGTACCTAACCAAAGTACAAAATTTGAGGTTAGTACCTATTGTAATGTCTCACCTCTTAATATCTTAATTTCTCTAGATTTATTTGGATCCTACCATTCTGTGATCACTCGTGTCCAAAATATTAAATGCCACACAAGAAACTCGGAATAAAATGTTCAGTTGCGTTTTGCAACAACAGAAGACAAAGCCATGAGCAAAATTTAAGTTTTTTCTCGTATCCCAATGACGTCGATCGCCGAGCAGTTTGGATGGCAAATTGTGGAACACAACATCTGGCTGACAATCTATCCATGGTCAGAAGTTACAGAGTATGTGGTTCACATTTTGAGGACAGAATGTTTTTAAATACCTCGACAAGATGCAAACTGACGCAAAATGCTGTCCCAACCATATTCAAATGTAAGTATAAACAGTTATGGTTGAAAAAAACCATAGTTAAATTGTACACAGATTTCATTTTTAATTTGAAATGGCCAATTTCATTAAATATAGGGCATTCATTAAATGTATTAAAATGTGGGTATTGTAGGATTAAGATCTTATCGTATCGATGTAGGATTAAGGTGATAATCATATTTATGCCTATTGATGATTACAATCACTTAATTGACACTTAAAATAAAACGTTAAGTTCGACGAATCGTCAAAATGTTTTTGTTATTTATTTAGGTTCAATCACAGCTATAGATATTAAGAATGCTTCTCTGAGACTTATACCTGACACTAAAACGTTCTTAATCTAAATGTCTGAATGACATACTGCGCTTATTGTTAAGATGTAGGTAATATTTATGATTTAGTAAGAAAGGTGTAGAGTGCCATTTGTTTGTATTATTGAACATATTCCGATTGTCATACAGTATTTTTACACTTGTGGGTTTAAGCATATGCTATAGGTATATAAGAAAACGAGACAGCTCGCTTAAACAATATAACTCAATTTGTCCTTCTAAAAACGTATGGAGATACTTAAGTCACGGACATGTTAATATTGACTGTCCAGTGTTATTGATATTTTTTATAGTACGATTTTGTTTAAACCTGACAGCAGTATTATAATATTTTAGTTATTATTCATAATTACATAATTTTTGACCACTATTGTCGAATTAATATGATTATTGAAATGTATTATTTTTTTTTTACTAAGCACCTAAATAATTCAATATTAATTAAAATACTTTATTAAAGAATATATGTTCATGAATCTAATCAAGCAAAAAATTAAAAAAAAAAAAAAACTAAAAACTTTTCTTGTTTAAAACTATTTGTTATACCTACTTGATTAGTTCTTATTTTTGCTTCAAATTTTATAAAAAACAATTCATAATTCTTATAATAATAATTATATTCGTGTGATACATTATAACAGTAATTAACAGTTAGGTACTCACTATCAATTAAAATCCTCYAGTTACCACTAATGAACTTTTTTTATGTTTAAGTAGATGTAACACTTGAGAAGCAAGAAAATGGACAAATTAATTGGTCAATGGTACCATGCAATAATCCGCCGGTACAATCATTTTTAACTGATCATAATTATCATAGAGATATTAGTACGATGTTTGCCAAACCTATATATTCAACCAACATTGAATAATTAAAAAAAATGTATAATCATCATTTGTTTAAAGTATTTGCACATACAATATAGAATTATATTGAGAGATTACTAAACATTGTGTATTTTAAATCTAAAATTGTATTTATACATAATAATTTTAAAAGAAAAGATTACTCTTGTTTTATGTATATCTAATAGACACTAAATACTAATTCATAAACTTCAGGTATTTAACCTTTATAATAGACAATAGTACTATATTTGAATTAAATTAATGTATATATACATATATTTTTTTAATGTACTGCTGTAGAGCGTAGAGTGATGAATCATATTTTTGTACCATTGGAATATGTCTGTTGGATTTTCTTAATATATTGAAATATTTTTATAAATGGATGACATTTTTGATAACTATGAAATTTACAAATAGTTTTTGCACATTTGTTTTTCAAAGATATTTGTGTCTACAGTATACATGTAGTTAAATGTGTAATGTGYAGTGTGTACTAAAAATCAAAAATTAAATATTGATGCTACAGTAGTAACTCATAGTTGATATAAATTAGTTCATCAATATTACTATCAACTTCTCAGATCTAGAAGCATAGAAGGTTAAGAACCTAATTTTAAATCAATTTGTTAAATGTAAGTACATTATAAATAAAAATTTTAGCATAATGATTTATTTGTCAAAATCATTATTTAAAAAAAGTTTCCCAATAAATATAACTTAGTCACAAGTCATAATATATTATTTTATAACATACACATATTATATTATGTAATATATAGTAAATATAATTTGTACAATAAATTGACAAGTATTTTTTTTTTTAATTCTTTAAAAATGTTTACTTTTAGAGACGATCATAATGACTATGAAGAGTTTCAGTAAATTCAATATTGATAAATAACAATTGAATTCAAATTCAAAATTTCAGGATTCACTTTAAAAAAATGTACAAGCATTCCATTGTCAGTTAYAGACAATGTGAGATTCGTATACTTTTATTCAATAAAGAAAATTTTTATTTTTGATTGAAACAAGATACTATAGTCTATAGATATTTGAACAAAATATAGAAAATGTTTGACTTGGTTCATAACTTGTATTCAGTCATATTAAAATCAACTTACAGAATAATCATGGTCAATTGCTTAAAAAAGGATATCATAGATATAAAAAGTATCTGACTAACTACCATTAATTGGTTCCATTTCAAATAAAAAAAAAAAAAAATGTTCTACAATTCACAGCCAAAAGAATACAGTAGGTAAATATGTTGTAAAAACTCCGTAGCTTGGTTGCAGCATATACATTAACATTCATATATCTAGTGTGTTTAAATTATTCATGTTAACTTATTTATAGTATATAATATTTATAACAATATTAATTTATAGTTAAAACATATTGCAAACAAACCCACATGACACAACTGAATTATTAGCAAGAGGCAAGACTCTGCTAGGCTTAGACACTTGGTAATGGCAAACAGTAAACAGGCAAAAAGTATTGAGCATTCCACTATAATCTGTTTACATCGGAATAAGCTTGTATTGACGTAATTTATTGGGGTATTCACTCAACTCAGACTTCCCCCAGGCTGAAAAAGAAATAAAATACAAAATAACATACATTTTGAAATAATTTTCAAATTGAAATATAAGTGTAAGTGTGTGCTTAGATTATTTATTAATATAATTATATTAAATAAAAACAAAATTACTACTTATGGCAATTTACAATTTTAAGTGAGATAATAAATCCATAAAAATGAACTGTATCTGAATCATTCAATATGATAATAACCTATTGCCTATTAATATAACCTATTACGAATTACTTTCCTACTCTTTATATTTTACTGGTTTCATTATTTTACTACATATAAATTCTTTTAAATCTAAAAAGTAAAAAAAAATCATTCTCATAGTTGTTTTATGTCAATATTAACAAAAAAAAATGTTTAAAAATTTACTTCATGTTAAAAAACTCAAAATGTATAGAAACTGTAAATAAAATAAAATATTTCAACCATGACTTATTATTATTTATTAGACAGTGCATTACAATAATAAATAATATTATAATTGCTTAGGTATTTTATTTAAATATAATTTCATATAATAATAATTACAGTCAATATAGATATGTTATTTTACCTACTAAAGTATATAAAATGTGTGCTAGAAAGATTTACCACAGTCTATAACAAGCATATTTGAGTACATACCAGAAGCATCTAATTGATCATAATAAGAATCTGGGCGCACAATCCGAGTTGACATAAGATATTCTTCTTCGCCATCTTGGAACTGAGATGTATTCAAATATGAGAATTGACTATTGAAATCATTTAAAGATTCATTTATTCTAACATGTATATTTAATCTTGGATCCTGTGATGCTGCTTCAACACTTTGTTTTTCCTTCAGGGTAATTTTCTTCGATTTTTTAATATACCAGCGTGTTGCCAAATTGGATACTATCAAATATTGACGATCTTTTAGTACAATATGATTAACTGTGGAGGTGTAGGTATGACACCCTGAGTAAATGTATTTATCAAACCAATCTGCAGTGCATGCTGTGTAATAAGCATAATCTAAAAGCAACAGTTAAAAATTGTAATTTTTTTCAATTAACTATATATCATAATGTACTTACAGCTTACAATTACCAAAATAAAAAAAATTATTTTTACAAAAGTAGTGTTTGGAACTATAATTAAGCCATAGAAGCCCAATACTAAGACTGTTGTGAAAACTCCAATGTATGATCCAACTATTGTGATATTTTTTAGCCTTTTATAACTTTCCAACTCACGCTTGAAGTAAAAACAAATAGTTAATTAATGAATACATAATACTAGCATGTGCATTTTTATTAAAACTTTGATTACAAAATATTGGCGCACAACCCGAAACAAATTTTTAATCACAATATTATGTATTAAAATATTAATTTTTTGTTAAGAAAGAATTGCATCATATTTAATATTTAATAATTCTGGGGTGGATGGTCCCTAAAATGATTAGGTCTATCTCATAAATGAAGAATTTTCATTCCATGACTGACCACTTTTATTTAAATATAATGTATTCATAGGTACTATATCTATAACCAAGAAAATATTACTATAAATAACATGATCGTGATTCAAAAAAATTACTATCAGTAAAAAAAAACAAACATTAAATCGCTTTAAAAATATCAAGTACCTATAGTTAAAATGGAAATTAAGTCTTAAGTTCAATGTACAATTTGAATCTTTTAGGTATTCATGTTATGAATAAAATCATTCATTATCTCGAGAAAGATAACAAAATTATCACTGACTTATGAAGTTATGACCATTGTAACTATAACATTTTTATTAAATACATCAATTACTAACATCAAAACTATGGACATTTTACTTATATTATTGATCTGCTATTACACAATAGCACATCATTGTCACTATAACTAGTGAATTTAAAATTAAAAAATTTATAACTTACTCCATACAAAAAATATTTTAGATAAAAATGTAAGAATAGTATGGATAAAATGAGTTTGTAAATATCATAAATGAACATTGGTGCATCATAATCTGACAAATTAAAACAGGCATCTGCAAAAATAAAAATACAATAGGTGGGTAGGTACATTATAAAATTTATATGAATAATTTTATATTTTTCCATATTTAAACAAATTTATTTACCATTCAAGAAACTTACCATTTCGCAATAAATAGCTGATGTCCAATAAGACTATAAATATTCCTAATGCTCTCCAAATATATTCCTAAAAAAAAAAAAAATACAAATATATAAGTACTCAACCAGCTGTAATAACAATCATGCATATTAAAATAATACAATTATTCGTACAACCATCACTAACACAAAATATAATATATAACCCATTATTATAAATAAACTCATAGATCATCAATTTATATAATTCAAAGAAATATTGGATTTTGAAAGGTATAAATTCCATATTAAATTAGCAAGTAGCCAAGCAGGTAGCTGAAAGTAGATGAGTGTGCAAGTATATTGTCTTGTATTGAATGATAATTGACTGAATATCAACTACAGTAAATACTATAAACAATAATATGATCATACAGTACGATCATTTACCATAAAACCAGGTGAATAGAAAAACTTTTCRACTTAAAAAACATATCTTTGAAAAGGAAATAACAAAACTACAAAACATATTCATAATTATAAATAGGGGCGTATATCGATTCCGCCGATTTTATATTGATTCCGCCAGCTACTGTTTAAAATATCTACATATCGATTCCGCCGGCTACTGTTAATATTATTTACATATTAATTCCGCCGGCTACTGTTTATCCCGTCCTTATAATTTGTAATTGTATCTTTAAAATTACAGTCCTACATAATATAAAATAAAATAATATAAAATAAACAAAATTTTAAAAATTTATCAAATGATTTGAACGATAATAAAATTTCTAAGATCACTTATTTCAAACATGTGTCCAAATATTACCAAAAGTAGTTACATTTATATTATATTTATTTTAATTAGATTATACATTTATACAATTATTATAATCATTTTATACAATTCAGACTATAGTACATATTATATACATTTTAATATTTTATCATTTATTCACACATTTTAATTTTTAATTATACAATTATTACTATTATCATTTTATAAAATTTAGACTATATTATACATTTTAATATTTTAAAATAAATTCACATACACGAATTAATAAGAATATACATTTTATTTTTGAATTATACAATTATTATTATTATTTTTTTTATCATGTACTATATAAAATACATATACAAGGGGGGGGGGATAAACAGTGTCCGGCGGAATCAATATGTAAATAATATTAACAGTAGCCGGCGGAATCGATATGTAGATATTTTAAACAGTAGCCGGCGGAATCGATACAAACCTTTTTTCTAAACAGGTAGTTTCAGCGGAATCAATAATTCCCCATAAATAGGGGCCTTGAACACTAACATAACTAACCTATTATATATTGTATATTTAAATTTCAAAAAAATAATTATAAATTATAAATTAAATATCTAATAACTGTAACAAGTAACAATAACATAATTCATAAAATAAGTAATAAAAAAATAATATGTTCTAAATTCGTATTTTGATTTTGATAACATATAAAAATGATAATATTTTATCATAATTTACGAGCGAATCAAAACCACCCCGATCCGTGCACATTATTATCAATTCTCCGTTATCACTATAACTAACATATATTATTATTTGTACACACATTATTATATTATATAATTTATATTTAAAATATAATAATGATATCTAACTAGGGTTTGAAAGTTGTTAACTTGCATAACTAAAAATATGTTTCAACAACATACAATACAAATCTAAATAACTAATTTTTATTTTGCATTTATTGATATTTATGGTATTTTTTGGATTTGAATTTAAAAGTCAAATCATTTTAATTTATTAATTTGACAAGATAGTTGTATTATGTGATGTCTGTGATGATAATAAAAAATTTAATTTACTTATAGACTTGGGTGAATACATTAAAAATAATTAGAAAAAGTATAATCAGGGTATAGACACTGTGTGTAATGGCAAAATCTGGTGACTGTGGTCTTGAACACGGTCTTTAGGAGAGAGTGGCATGCATTATCACTTAAATAAATCATATCATCATTATTATCACACAAAAAGAGACAGAACTGATATAGTGTTTTGTAATGCCCATTGCGTTGTTTGGTTGTTTCCGTTTTTATAATTCCGTAACTAAGAAGGATACACGTTGCTAACATTTTATCAGATTACTGATACGGTACAATTTCCAATACTTCAACCGTAGGGATACAGTAACCCGATCAGCAGAATAGATAGAGTGTCTAATCTGTAGGTATTATTTATCTAGGCATTTAAATAAATAATACATATTTTTCGGGGCATTGACTTTCAATCCAAGTAGTAGTTAAAATGTATATTTATATTGTACACTTTATATTTTAGATATAAATTATAAAATAATTTGACTCCGTAACAGCTCAATATCTCTTATGAGGGACATACATAATAGGTGTTATAACTTCACTGATAGTAGTTTTGGGAGAATAATGGCCATTCGTACATATTGCCTATGATGTTATCTTATCAAAGAAAAAATGTCAGATTTTTAAAACCAATTCATCTAAAAGAAAAAAATATTTCTGTYATCTATTTTTTTCAAAAACTCATGACAAATATCTTTAGGGACATATCTTACTATAAAATATACATTATAAGACTCACATTATAAACATTATGATTTTTGTATTCCTTAAATTATTAGCATGACGAACAAATATTATTTATTTATTATAACCGATTTGTAACCTTATCAGAATTAACTCAAAAGAATGTCCTCTGTAGGGGTTATAGGGACTGAAAGGGTTGTTGGCAATGATTTTTAAATATTATAATATGTATAATATGTTACACACACACACACACACACACATATAAACATATTATATATATATTATTTAAAAAAAAAAAAAACATTACAAAATATAATATTATTATTTTTAAATTTCTACACATACTTTTTACAAACTCATATCTAATAACTATTTAAAAATAATATTTAAGTTTAATTTATCGTTATCCAGAGAAAAAACGGAGATTAAGTGAAACACGATATTTATTATACATATTTTATACTAGACTATTATACCTACATATTAGACTCGCAGTTGTCGCGATCACATATTATCTTCCGATAACACATGGGTATTACAAACATTTTAGTAAAAAATTATATTATGTGATATTTTTTTTTTTTAGAAAGTATGTATGGAAATTATTTATTATTGTTTATGTATTTTGTGATGAATAATTAATTTTAGTAAAAAAAATAATAATTAATATTATATTATTCTACTGTGTAATATTTTTTTTTAAATAATTAATAATATAATATATGATATATAATACACGTTAAATTATTTTAAAATCATTGCCAACTTAATTTCAAATTGACTAAAATGGCTATAATCGAAATGGGTATCTGGGTGATTGGGTGAAACGGTATAAAGGTCGATTTTGGGCAAAACAGGCCGCATTCTTCCTGCCTAGGAAATGAAACCTATTGATTTTTCATATTATTAAGTATTTAAGTCTAATAATAAGTATATTTATACCTTAATTGCAACTTTTATGCTTGCTGCTATTGATTTGACTTGGGGGCGCCTGCATACTTTGATGCAATTCAAATAAAAAATGTGCTTGAATGCTGTCATTAATTTGAACAGCATTAACTTAAGAACTTTCATTGTGATTCGTTATAATCTGAAATAAAAATAATAATAATTAATAAATTAATTTAGCTATTTACTGAAAATCGTCGTCGACATGAAATAGATACTTAGGTCACTAGAATGGAAACTATTACAATTGAATTCAACGATAAACCATTGCATAGGCAGGTAACTATAAATTGAGCATACATAGTTTAAATAAATATTATAAAATATATTAACTGCAAGCACAGACACATGTCGGGTAATCGGGAGATAGAAAAATGCACTTCTCGTAAATCCGTCAACGTTATCTAAAATATCTGTTATTGAGCCGTGATATATTACACTCACATTAAAGAATAAACCTTTCCTCCTATATGATGGTGGTTTTGATGATGTAAATCGAATATAATTTTTTTCAACTGAACAAAGTATAAAAATATTAATGTCMAACCAGTGTCATTGGTTTTTTTGATGGTATATTTAAGTCATCCCCGCAAATCTTTACTTAGCTTCTTATAATCCATGCAATAAAATACGACACAGTATTATCGTTAGTGTTTGCACTTGTGCCAAATAAAACGCGTGACAGTTATACTAAGATTGGACAAGAAGTTTTGAATTTGGAAAAAATTTACAGCCACCAAGTATTATGGTTGATTTTGAACAGGCGCTGTTTGGCGTGATTGCAGACGTTTTCAATGACGTTCTAAATAAGGGGCTGCTTTTTTTCATTTTGGGCAATGTATAATGTATATGGAGAAAAATACAGTGAATCCCTGAAGTATGAGAAAAATATATTTCAAATTCTAACTTTGCCTAAAATGTAAAACAGTTAATGGTTTTAGCATTAAACTGATACCTGATGTCGAAGAAAACTTTGATGAGTAAATATGCCAAAGTTTTTTTTTAGAAAATGAAAAACTATATTGTTTCCGTTGACATACTACTTTGAAGATACATGGATGGGCAGACCAAATAGACGTAGAACTCGACGCCCACCTACATTTAGTTTAGAACTGTGGAATCAATACGACGAAACACTTGCAGATTTGCTAAAAACAAACAACTCCATCAAAGGTTGGCACAGAGCATTTTCGTCATTGTTTGATGCATCTCATCCAACTATATGTTGATTAATAGACAGAATAAAAAAAGAACAACGGTCAACGGAAATAAAAATCAATCAATAATACGAGGATAAGAAGAGATAGTTAAAATGAAAAAATATACGAATACAAATACATGAATTAAAAAAAATTAAATTATGATCATGCAAGTAATATCAACGAATATTTAATTGGAATTGCTCAGGGTTTAGTGTTTAAAGATATAAGGAATTAATTTTTTTATTTATTTTTTAATAGGTACAATATTTTACAAAGTATTTTATGTGCCTGTAATAACGTATACCAGTAGCATTAAAGCCCGTGTTTTACTTCTTATTAATAACAGGTTAGGACGATCGCAAAAATAACAATAACAATAAATATTATTTAGGTAGTCAAAACACCAAAATAGGACCAAACGGTAGTTATTTTGTACAATAGGTACTTAGAAATAACTGTTGTGGAAAACATAATCTTAGAATGGTTTAGTTTACAGAAATGATTTTAACAGAAGGAACTCTTCACTTTCATATTCGGTGGTTTAAATGGAAGTTTGTAGAAAAATATAATAGACTATACTGATCCAGTAACTTAGGATGGTAGGTATTAGGTACATATTGAAATATAATGATTCGTCAAAATCGAAATCGCTTCGTAAATAATGATCAAGCAATAACAATATTTACAAATTGTAATTCAGGAGACAATTTTTAAGTTACTAAGATAAAAACAATAAAAACTTGGATCCTTCGCTCTAATAGTAGAGGGAGTCCTGGTGTACAATAGACACTAACAATACTAACATAATGCATAATTAAAAATATTAATTGTAATACCATTACCTAGTATAATAATAGTAGGTACCTAGAATTAATGAAACTTATACCACAGAAGCAAAAACAAATTAAATAATAGTAATATAGTATATTTTAAAAAATAGCAATAATATCTAATTCAATTTATTCTATCTTTAGATCAACCAATAATAATTAAGAACTTGGTTTATACAAATTACAATAATATCTAGGATAGTGATACCAATGTAAATTAAACGGAGGTAGATATATATAACAAGCCAGGAAGTAGATGATAACGTATATTGTACACAAAAAAAAAGGGCTACGTATGATATATATGAACAGAATTAGTATAAATATATATTAATATTACTTACCCTTGAGACTAGACTCGTCTTGGTCAAAAACGAAATTGGATTTATCACATATAATACAATAATTAGATATTGTTTGTTAACACAAAATCCAGACGGGCGCTGCTGTGCGAATGCAAAGAACCGCGCAAAAAAGGCYGACCCTTATCGAACTGATTTACAGCCGTATATGAGAGAATAGGAGAACGGTCATCCCTTAAAGTCAACAGCAACCTGTGCGGCGACGGCGCGAAGGAAACAGCGCGATCTTGCAACTTGCGTCATCAAATCATCAGATCAGAACAGCGGGATTGGTACCGACAAATCCGGGCGTGTCGTCCCGCTTGATCGATTTAATTTTCCCACCGCTCAAAACAAGAAGAGTCGATCGTGAGCCCCCATCCCTCGAAAGTGTCAAAGACCTTTCTATGAAGTTATCCGTGGTGTATACTAATGTTGATAACTAGTAGCATTGCTAAAATAGGGTTGAATTTGAGTGTCATATCCCTCCATGACTTTTTTTATTCTTTCAGCACTGGTAATTACACAATTATATTCATGTGCTTATTTAACACTACTACATGAAGTATATTTTATAGAGATACCTAATACAAAAAAACCAAACTCCAACAAAGGTTAGATTCAAAAATAAACCACTGACAATACACATCATCGAATTTGTAGGTATAATGTATATTACCAACATCAAGATAATCGTAGTTATTTTTGAGAGTTATATGACTTATAGAGCTTAATAATTACAAAAAAAAATGTTATGAGGTTATCGGTAAAATACACAAAAAACTTACCCCATTCCTGACAAAAACGTTACAATATTACGCCACTGAATAGGAGACCAACCTAACAACATAAAAGAGCGTTTATTGTGTTATTGAATGCATAGGTCAGTTTATAATTAATTAATATCTCTATTTAAATAATTATTTATTAGTTTTCAAATTTATTATTTACCTAATGTCACGATTAATACAAAAATATTTATAATAATATTAAGATATATATTAATGTTTTTCATGCGTGTACTATATAATCGAAAGCTAAATTCTACAATAATTATTGTTATACGTATGCCAGTCATCTAAAACAGCCTAAATTATTGCAAAATGTTTTTATGCCATTCGTAATGTTATATACACAGCTTTCATCAAGTAGTATAATGCCAATGGGAACTGGATTTTACAGATACCAAACTAATTAATTCCCAATTAATTTAAATAGATAGGTATTATAATAGCCGAACTAGGTACCAAATTAATACTAGTTGGTAGATATACTATGGTTTTATTCCAATTAATTCAAATTTAACACATCCATTATAATGACTGTCTCAATATCTATTGCACATCAAAGCATTAGCGATTTTACTATAGAGAATTACTGAAAATACTTTGGACCTCTCTAAAAGTATCAACTAGATCCAATTTATTTTTATAAACTCCGTCTGAAATTGAAAATCTAGGCATTTGTACTAGTCAAAAGACAGAAAGAAAAAATAACTTATTATAAAACCAATACATTTAATCTTTACTTTCTGGAGGTTCACGCAAGTAGTCTGTAAAATAAAACAGTGACTAATAGCTTCCTTTGCTTAGCAATTTGAATTACCCCAAATATAAAGGCAAGTTAATTTTACAACAAAGAAAATAGATATCTTGAGTTGAACAGGTAGTTTAGCACCATAACATGCTTATTTACTAGCGGTAGCATAGAAGTTGTTTCCATAGAAATAGTACACTTACACTTATAATACTTTTTCTTTTTGGTTTTTATTAGTTTAAAATAAGCATCAACCTAATGATAAAATTTGATAGCTAATAAACCTAGCTAATAACATATAATCAATTACTAATTAGTAACTATGGTAAATTAATAATATTAGGTTTATAATTCTACTTCTGTGCATTAATTTATTTTCATTCATATTTAATTTACTCGGTTAGCTCATTAATTTGTTTGGTAAATGTTATCATCAAAAACTTATTGTTTTGAAAATTATGAATGATTCATCGATAGAAACATTTTTTCTAACAATTATAATAAAATTAGATCATTAGATGGTATTTTCAATTAACAGTGTATAAATAAATCATTATAAGTATTTAGTTTACTAACTGCTATTGTCTGGTAAAATTGTTTAATATTAGTGTTTTATTATAATAAAATAATAATTAATAAGGGCAATAAAAAATAATAACTATAACATACATAAAAAGGAATGAAAATGAAAAAGCACAAGTTGTTTACATGTAAAATTGTATTTTTATTGATTGGCCATTAATATTAATACTTATTAGTTATTAGTTATAAATTACGAATAAATACATTTATACTGATAATTTTTCAGAACACATTTTAAGTGCTAAAGAGGGCGTTATTTCTACAGCTGTTGTCTGTCTTACTGACACACTTACAAAAAATGCAGTAAACATTTTTGTAGTTAATTTAAATATTTGAGTAAGATGAGTTATGAGGTTAGCCTCCCCCATTTTCATAAAAATTATCCGAACCTGTGCAAATATTTAGCAAAAAATTTTAAATACATTTTTAGAATTTGCAAATAAAAATTGTAATATTAATATATATTATTGTAATTTGTTCTTGTGGCAATCGCGTATTATGTATAATAAAGTATATAAATAATATTAGTTAACAAATGACAACAATTTTTATTTAATTGACATCAATACCTATCTTCACACTATTATAAAACTAATATTATTTGAAAAGAATCATAGATTTATAATGTTTATTTGCAGAAATTGATGATGAATAATATTATGTATATTACATTTAAATGTTTTACAAATAATTACCTATTTAGCTTTTGAATATTTATAAGTACTTAGTATATAGGTACATGGGATTCAATTATACCTACTGGGCCAATAGTCTATGTCTATTCACCAAGTCAAAACTGAAAACACTGAAAGCCAATAATCCGTTTATGCTTGGGATATTGCATACATAAGTAAAGTAACTGTGTTGTGAACTTATATACCTATGAACCGTGCAATATGCGCATTGTGCTTAATTACTTCTATTTTAAGTTTATAGTGAAACTGAATATGTATAAACAGTTACACAGTTAAAAATAACTTTTACAACATTTAAAAAATTTTAGCTTCACTTCATATAACATCAATTTCTAATAAACAATTTTTATTCATCTATTTTTATTAATAATCTTAATTAGAATTTAACTAACTGTTTTTTCTTTATTAATGTCAAATAAAATTTTATTTTTATATTATATCAGTTAGCTATAACTTATAACAATATTGTTATAAAAATTTAAATCATTTTTATGGGTATCTTGTTAATTTTTTTTTAATATTAATTTTTTAATTAAAATAATTACTAATTTATTTTATTAATTTAATCAAATAAGTATTTTTTATTTTTTAATCACACTTATTAATTTTTTTCAATAATTRTGTTATTACTTATCATCTTTTTGAGAAAATGTTATTGGTTATTTCTAAATTTTATATTTTTATTAATTATTACTAACAATGATTTTATGATCATTTTTGAATAATATATTTTATTAATAATTTATATAAAGAATTTTTATTTATTCCTTTTATTCAGTTAATATCATTTAAGAATAATATCAATGTAATTGACCGTTTTAATTAATTATTTTACTTATATTTGTATTATTAGTATGTGGTAATAATTAATATAAATTATTTTTAGAATCTTAGAAAATGTAGAAATTGAAATATTTTTGATACATATTGAAATTGTTTTGGTTCGGATAGGACAAAGTGGGACGGGTGGGGAAGGGGCTGCATGAAGTTGGTCGACCAAACCTAATTATTAATTTGTGTCTATAGTTGCAAAAGATTTGAAAATTCTGAAATTAAATTTGCAATTAATTGCAAKTAATTCATAACCACAGAAATAAAAACTATCATAAAAACTTAAATTTAGGAACATTGTTCTGTTATCTTGTTGAATTTTAACAATATTTTAAATTAGAACTGCTGTATGAATAATTTACTATAGTATGAGTTAGTAAGACAGAAAAAACAAATGCTGGTACAAAAACCTATTAAATAACTAACATAGATAATGTCTCAGCCTATAGGGAGTACAATCAATATTCTAAGTAGTGAGATGGAGGGTTTGAATAATTGAATAAGACACTTTATAATAAATATAAATATATTTTTTTATTATAGGGTTGCTATTGGTTATACAATTTAGTATGGATGAATAAAAAATTAGCAATTTGTTATTAGGTACCAATTTTAAAATTGTTTCACCTTTACAAATTAAAAAATGCAAAAAAATATAATTTTAATCCGTTATTTTATATGATTGTGTTAAAAATCTTAAATGGAGAATAAGATAGAATAAAACCATGCAAAGTTTTGAACATGACTATAGCCGGATGTTAAATGACGAATTAAATACAAATTTTGAATTATACTTTTGATGGGCAAAAAAGTGCATAGGGATCAGCTAGTTTTATATATATAGAATATAAACATACATTGAATATTAATATATATATAATTTATAATAATACCTTTAACCATAAATTCAATTTAAATACACAGGGCCATCTATGAGTTCAGGTATCATACTAGAAACATGAAATTGCATGCTACAAATGTACCAGTTGTTTTATTTTCACATTAGTTTGTATTGACACTATAAATAGTGAATATAGTCTTATAGTCTATGTTTTTCTCTATCTAGTAAAAAAAAGTTTAAAAATATAGATAAAAAATGTTCAGATAATATGAAATTAAAAACAACAGATTAATAAATAGAAAATAAAATCATTCAAATGTAGATAATTGCTTTACAGCTATCATTAGCTGTGAATAATTATTGTCACCAACGCTATTTCTTAGCAATAAACTATAGATGATTTTCAGCTCATCTTCTTTATCAGCTAACCATCTAAAGAAATACAATTAATTTTGAATTATTATCAAATAATTGATTTTAAAACCAATAGTTTTTCTCATATTAACATATATCATCATAACATACTTCTAAACAATATACATAATAATTTAATAATTAATAACGGGGTAACTTACTTTACTTCCTTTACTGATGATTTATCCAAGGCTAACTGGATCATACATTTTAAGAGTTTAAGCACATTTTCTTCCAAAATTAATAAAAAATGTAGTTTTCTCATTTCAAAGTGTAAGTCATCTTCAATAGTTAACTCCTCAGTTTGATCAGTATTATATGAATATTTCATTGTGTCTTTATTTTCCGAAAACATTTGAAACACAGCACCACATTTTTTCAATGTTTCTATAATGGACCTGACATATTTGAGATTCAATAAACCTAGGTGATAAATTAATGATAATTACTTAATAGGTTACTGTTTATTGAACAAACATATTACATACCTATAGTTCCATCAATTAAGTGCATATCTAATGTTATCATTTTTATGAGAACCTCAAAAGCTTCCAATGGACGCTGTATTTTAAAAAAGATTTCAAATGAAATATTACAGTAAGACTTAATTTGAATGAAAACAGGATGCAACTCTGGTGACTTTTCAGTAATACATTGTCTAGTAATAAAAAATAAACTTGTTTAAAATAAGTTCATACAATATTACAATAAAAAAATGTATTATATATTTTACGATACTATTGTAAATATGACAGTTCACAGTGTGTCAAGGTAAAATGGCTATTGACATTTTTTACTTACCCTAAACGATCAGAAGATAAAGACGCTAGACCAAAGTGAATATAAGCGGCTTGATACTCATATACAAATTTATTGGGAGATTCATTTTCCAAATCACAATATTTCAAAGCTTCCATGAATAAATTGATACATTCTCTATAATTATTAGAATTACACTAAATGACAATAAAAAAAAAGATTTTGATTAAAAAATATGTTATTATGAATCCTAAAATTGTATACATACTCTGCATATGGCTAAATATTCATTTACAGCCGCATGGAACAGGGCTGAAGATAGCTTAAAGTAAACCATATCCCACTGTTGTGAATTAGAACTGCGGTCACCTATCTCTAACAATCTTTTCTTGTAAGCATTTCCAGCCTTATATTTCATACAATAATATATATATATATATTTATATAAATATAATCAACTAAAATGTTATCATAAAATTATGAATCCTAACCTTGAAATTTATAATCTCTTTTTTTATACAAGTATTGATAGGAAYTATATATTTTGTTGAATAATGTGCTATGTAGCCGTACAAAATTTCCAAGTTTGAATTTATCAGGGCAAAATTATCCTTGTCATCAACTGTTTTAAATATTTGACTTCCCAATGTACAACAAGTCTTAGACTTTTTTGTAAGCCATTTTAACTTTAAAGGACTTAAAGGAATATTATTGCTTATAGCCACTATATAAAAACATAAAATTAAATAACGTTTTAAACATCACCAAATAAAACATTTGTTTTATGCATTTTAATTATACATCAACTTACTTAATATCTCTTCAATGTAAATTTTAATGTATTCATTGTAAACATAACCTATCTGTTTACTTAGATTATTTTTATTATTAATATTTGTTTCTAATGCCAAAGCACGTGAATAACAATGTTCTGCTGCGTTCAATATGTTTTCTTTTGAACAATTGAGGTTTGTTGGTATTAAATTTAAATCTATAGTAAATTAAATATTATACACTTTAAGTAATGACTAACATCAAATCATCAAATATTATTTTAATACCTTTATTACTATGATTAGAACTATTTAGCAATGCTTTTCTTAGTTCGAAATCATATTTTTCATCAGTTTCAAATTCGGTTGAGTACTGTTCTATTTTATTCCAATATTTAAAAATAAAAATACAACAATTGCCACAATGGTCTAATATAGGTCCGAATAAATGATTGAAATCAGTTTTGGTAACACATAGTTGACATTCAAGTGAACGGCGGAAACATTTTAAAGCTATTCCAAAACTAAAGAAAAAAATATGTTTATCAATTAAAAATTTCAAATATTTTTTACTTATCTTACTTTTTTGATGTAAGATATTTTTCACCAAATTTAAAATATGTATCAGAAGCTTTTTTATAGAGGATCAGTCTGAGAWTATTTTCCCAACTAACATCCTCAGCATCGAGACGATTATGCCATCTTGGCATATTATTTTTTATAACCATTTCAGAATCAAGATACGGCATATGTATAGTCTTGCGTTTGGAAAACAATGTTCGTCCCACCTTTTCAAAATAAATTTGAAATTTTTTTATAAATTAATTATTTGATACATACCATAATATCTTTATTGTTCTCAAAATATTGTAAACAACTCAAACTGCTTCCAATATGGTATAATGCCTTATAATAACATTCTTCTATAGTTGTTACTAAAGACTTTGATGTAGGATACTCTGGTACTAAAATAATATTGTATGTAAAACATGAATTGTCTTCAAAAATAAAAATAAATAGTAAAATAACAAACATTTACTTAAAGATACATTTTTTTTCTTATGTGATACACATAAATTTTGTATGTCAACAGAATAGGTCCCATAATCGAGCTGAGTTGATGAAATGACAAAATCTTCATGACAAGTAGCAGAGTCGTCGTTTACATCAGTTGAATCCATTATTACAGTGGTTGATGGATTATTATAAATTGAAATGTACACATCAGATAACATGTAATTGATAGATGCAACAATCTGAAAGTTAAGAAATAATATTTGTCATTACAATTGTAACAAACACTACAAGTCAAATWACTAGTGGATATTTAGTTTTATCCAACAATTGTAGACAATTGTTTAGTAAAAGTTGAATAGTAACTGGATTATACAATTTTCCATATTCTAGATTATGTTTTAATTTACAACAAAATTACCACTGGAACCGTAAAAGGATTCAAGCTATCAGTTAATGATTCAGAACACAATATTGTCAAATCATACAGTTTTACCACATCATCATTTTTTCCTGTAATTTAATGGACAAAATTTATAATAAAATATAGTTTAATATACTATTCTGATAAAAGATTAATTAACCAGATTTTACCTTTAAATAACCAGTAAGTATGTCCAACACTATTAGTATTTGATTTTAAAAATGATAATGTATTTTGCATAACATCAATAACATTATTTGGTGAAAATGTTGAGYYATTCAACAATGGTAAATCTTTAGTCTTTATTAACTCATACTTTTGGACAATGCCATTTATATGATAACATAATTCAGTTTCAGGAATATCACACATTAAATTATCTAGCCAATATTCAATCCCAGTTAACATACTAAGAGGTTTTGACATGTCTCTAAAATTAACAAAATAATAATGTATTCTCTTATTCAATAAAAATCAAATTATAATAATATATTAGAAAATAAATGTCAAACCTTAATCTTGAACTTAATGACGAATTATTGCTACTCCCAAAAATTGGTAGATCTGTACCTATTAGCATTTGCATGTTTTCAATGTCCCACAAAAAATTTCGGTTAAATAATTTATGTACTTGAGGACCGTCTGGAAATACTTCTTCTAGTGAAATTGTTGGTAGAGTAGAATCTAACTGTACATATTTTACACAGAAATTACTATATTAAGTATTTAATTGAAATATAATATTGATATTTCTAAACTTACCGAAGAAGTTTCATCACAAAAATTTTTATTTTTTATTTTTTCTTTATGAGAATCTAATGCAATAGTATGGTGCAAATATTTAGACACCAAATCTTTACGTAGAATAGCTCTAAGAGAGTTCTTTTTATAAGTGATACATTTCGCCTAATATTTGAGAATAAAAATACAAAACATTAGATTCAATAAGACAAAATTTATAATTTACTAATTTAAAACTCTTGTTATCCAACAAAACTTGTATTCTTAACAGAATTTTCTGAATTAATGTTGTAAAAAATTTGATGTTCTTAGAAATCATTTAATTACATATTAAAAATATAAATATATTATAATAACCTATGTTTTGTCGTTATATAAGTGTTTTTTTTTTACAAAAGAGTTAGTTGGCTGCTTTTACTAGGAAGTCTTAATATTTTAAGTACCTTTGTACCCTAATATACTTAAAAGAGATTGAAAATTTGATATATGAGACCTAATAATAAATAAAAAATAGTATCAACTTAAAAGGTATATTTATTATATTATATCTGCTACGGTAAATAATGATGTTATATCGGAAAATAACAATATTTACCCGGTTATTAACGTTATTTATCAACAAATGTGGGAATTATTGTTATTTTCTAGTAAACAATGTTAAGAACCGTATGATATGGTAAATGTTGATTATAAAATCATGTCTAACGAGCAATAATAATTAGGTGATCGCTAAACTAATTGTGGTACTAATTAAATATAACCAAATCACTGATGAAGACTAAATTATAGATGAACTCACAGAGAAAAATTTAGAACTTGGTAGATACTTATAAAATAAATATTCGACGAATAAGACTAAAATATAAATATTTTTTTAGATGATCGTCAAGAAAATATTTATAATGCTTGTAAAAAGTCAAAAAAAATGTTATCAAAACAAGTAGAGAAAACAATAAAACTTTTAAAAAAAATTCCACAGCTTGAAATAAGCACAACTGTACGTGTAACTATACCGGACGTTGATGGAGCTTGTGGTTCTCCACGAAATATACTAGCAGTTGTCACCCAAATTATACAAACTCTGTAGGTTAATTCTTAATGAAAAAATGTATCATTAAAATTTAAAAGTAATTAATATTATAGGTACGGAACATGGTGTTCTTTAGTACAATTGCACATGGCAAGAAATAGCTGCATGCGAAAAGACATTTTTAGACATGGACAATGTGATCAAATTCACAGTTGATACCCAGAAAAGCAGCTAGTAATAGTTCAGTTGTGTACTCTCAAGGGTACCAGCGTTTCCATTGGAAGATTACAACAATGAATGTTGTGCATGTCATGGGAATGAAAAGTTATGTAACAGTAAATGTCATGGCAATACAACATGTAAAAATAAATATATTTAATAATAATGTATTTTTTGTTTTTTTAAGAATACCTAGCCACCTAGGTACACAGTTTTTCAAATTTTAATATTTCAGACTCACTTGCATATCTGGTCTAGAACATCAATTACCTGTATATTTGTTAATTAACGTGATTCTCTAGTTTTTAATGATAATTACCTATGTATTTGATCGATAATGTTAATAACTGGCGAATAAAGTTAATTTCCATTTAACGTCATTTACCGTAACATATCTATGAATTTCTATATTTATAAGGCTAAATACTATGTAAATATTTGTAGATTGTGATAATGACTAACGCCTAAAAAACAACTAAAATAATTGTAAATTTATATTTCCGTATTATTTTTATATAGCAGAATGAATCTGATAATAAATGGCTGTTACTATTATAATTTTTAGATCAGATTTTTACAGTTTTATTGCATAAGCATATTTGAGCAAAAATATTTATCAGGTAAAATTGAATATTTGATATTATTAAGCTCAACATTGGTTCTCTTCATTCTTAATTTAAAAATTAAATAAAGCAGAAATACACCAATAGTTTCAAATCCTTTCATACGCGATAATCTTTGTATTTAAAAATTGCAATTTATTTTTAGCTAAATATCATTAAGAAAAATAAATCTATACATAACATAATAATTATAAATAAATGTTCAATGTGAAAATAATTAATTTTTATTGATCAATAAATTACTATTTTGGGCAACTTTCATACAAGATTAAAAATGCATAACTATGGTAATGTTAAAACCTGTTTATTTAAAATTTAAAAATAATTAAATAATTACTGTAAGGCTCTAAGTTATACCATATATATTTATTATTTGGATAATTTTCCTTCTTAGATTAAATGTAGATGTAACGTAATTTAAATTTGAGTTGGTGTACATATTTAATTTTCCAATTTTTTATTAATGGCCTTTTTTTAGATTAAAAAAAAATATTAAGAAAAAACAGTATTCACTGCAGTTGTATAAGATCAATATATTATAATTAAATTATTTGAATTTTTTTTATGTTTCATTTTAATATAATATAATATATTATATATTGTATCTATTAATATTTTTTATGTTTTAGTCTTTAGTGCATATAATAAATTAATAATTATATTAATATTATTATAATCATATGTTTACATACTTATGTATTTAATATGATTATATCATGATGATGAATCAAAGAGCTTTCATTGGAAAGTCTCTTAATTCTATCACTTTATGCAACTTTATCTAATATTTCATATTTGTTGTTGGGTTACTATGTAACACATGGAATACATATAAATTATATGAAAACGCCAAAAATAATCATAAAAAAATCTGTTTTTACTTACTATACTATCAGAAGACCCAACAATATTGTTGTAAAAGAATTTTTTTAACCAGCTCCATTGATTGTTTGTTTCTACAAACAAGTATTTTTGAACATCAAATTCATCTAATAGTAATGTCTCATCAATTCTGTGCACCATTATGCTCACCTATAAAATACTCTGAATGATTTAGTTCTCAAGACAATATAATGAAATGAAAATGACTGAGTTATTATTATGATTAAATAAAATTTAAATACCTAATGTAGATTTATTTATATGTACATTAGACAAATATTTACAAATGTATTAATAAAATAATTTTGCATAACAAAATATAAATGTCTTTCTATATCATATATTTAAATGTATATATGAAAAATTTAATATTTACTCACAGATTTTTTATTATATGGTATCTTACACAGGTTCCTAATATTTTCTGCATCTGATATGATGTCCACTTTACCAATGCATTCATGAAACATATTAGCCATTTGAAAACTAAACAACATAAACAATATTTATTAATGTTTTGATATTTGTGAAGATTAATATTTCATATAGCTTTTACCTAGAAAAAACACGAAAATCACTAGACGTCATATATCGCATGCCATATGATTCTTCTTCTTCACATAACCAATTTGATGGCGCCAAATTTAGATTAGTGTGAAGTTTATTGCGTTTATAATTGGGTGTTTGAACTGTTGAAAACTTTAGTACAGATTTAGATTTAAATTTACCATGTTCATCATTTAAGGAACTATGCTGGGTATTTTGAATGTCCTAAAATTAAGACACAAATAACCAACTAAAATTTAATAGTTAGGTACTCTTAAGATTAGCAGAATTTTAAAATGACAATTATATTGAATGTACCAATAAAATGACAAACAAACATAGCTGCATTGGAACGATTATTAAGAAACACATAAACAAATAGGATCAAGGCATTCGTTTAATAACTTGACTCTATCAATCAAACATATTTGTAAATCCTAAAACAATATATCAACTCACCATAATGATTGAAGTTAAGTTCCAAAATGGATAGCAGACAAATAGGCTAGCACACAGCAGTGGTCTGCATTCATTGACAAGTGATTTTCTGTAGAATTGTTTCACACTTCTGAAATAAATAATAGGTACTATGGCTATAGCAATCACGCGAAAAGCGAATAAATATACAAAATTACGAAAATGAACGATTGACGAACAGAGGATGCGAGAAAAAATTACTGTTTAATACCACACACTGTACGCAACTGAAATTTCAACAGTTGTAGAAGTAATTTAGGTACACATAGTAATAAAGTATGGGCATTTAATATTAAAYATTATAATGAATAATGATATTATACCTAGTATTTAATAAATAATAATATAGTGTGGTAGATAATAATAAAATATTTGTTGACCCGCGTCATGACTCACGACTCACGAGTGCCGGAGTACCTAACCACGTCTATCAGTCATCAGTGTCAAATTACTTATCAGATAATGATAATCGAGTAAACAACCATAATTTTACCACAAATCATGATTAAAGATGTCACGGATATAATGGCCTGGAAACAAACAGCTTATCAGTCATGGCCCCGAATGGATGTTCAAGAGCAAAACATAAGATATAATATGATTATTATATTATGTAATGTGTAGATCTTTAATCGCGTTCAAGACGCATGTGTATTGCCCAGAGGGTCGTTACTCATAATGGTTGTAGAGAGTCAACGACGCGAAATGTATAAAACACAGACTAAGATACAAAAAATATGATTCCAAATTAAACCACCGGCAGCGCTGAAAATATTCATTGCCCAGTGTTGATGATAACAGAAGAACCTCTTAGCGGGTGGTCCTGGTCCATCTCTATCACTCCAGCGTCATCCYACCATTTCGTTTACAGTTCGTTGTACTTAGCCCGTAGCTTTTACTCATGTAACACCAATCAATAAGTGAATAAAACTGTTTTCATCGTCAGCTTGCCAAAAGCTGATAATGCCGAGACGGTGATGGTGTTGGCATTTGCAGACACTCATGTCATATTGTCATCATCACGTAGTCATGTTATACTCATTGATATTAAATATCATAATAAATTATTTTAAGTTTTAAAATTGAGTTTGTTAAATATCAAAGTTATCCGCCATTGCTGCCGCCGCGTCGCTGCCTTTAAGCAATGATTTGGTTAGGTGGGCGGTGGCTTGCATTACTTTGTAGTAAGGACCTACCCACCACACACTGCCTAGCAAGTACCCATCGACAACGACTATCACTAACCTTCTCCATCTGATGAGGTGTTAATATCGTCAATAATCATATTCAATTATAGACAGTTCGATCTTTCTAGAAACATAGGTCGATCCTTATAAAAATTTATTTTACCATTATCGGTCGATCGCGTGATAAACAATCGGACAATTTTTTTTTTACTTTTTCTCGTGTATTATTAAAATATTACATTATTATAATTATGAAGAAAACTCAAGAAACAATAAATATTTATTCTATTTCAAATGTAGCTCACTTTTTTGAAAAAGTCGGCGACCCCTGCTATTATAGTAGGTAGATAGGTACCTTTATATTGTTAAAATGCGCGATGCGCGAACGACCAACCAACTTTATTACCTGTAGTACAAATGATGCGCAAATGACAAACTCCGGTTATAGCGGTTCAACAAAGGGCGTTCGCTGGTTAGTCGTTAGATGGTCGTAGGAAGTGTTTTGGTGACCGTGGGGGTGCATGATACCCACTAGATTGAACTAATAAGGGAACATTTCTACTTTAGCGGGCACCCTTTTTTTTGCAATTTTTTGGGCGGACTTAGACATCTTTTGGCTGAAAAAAACGTTAGTGAAATCAGAATTTGGCGCACGAAGATAGTTTCGTAGTTATAACTAATTGAAGTTTTAACATAATATAATAGTCCTTAAATACCTATAATGCCGAAATGTGTGGTGYTCAATGATGGCGCAATGGAAACAACGTATTTACATTAGCTTAGTACCTAGAGTTCGATACCCGACCCACCCGAAATATTGTTTGCMCTTTTTTTTTAAGATTTTACAATTGTAATGATATTTGTTATTAACATATTTTCTTTTTTTAAAACAGAGCTAACAGTTAAATAACAAATTTATCAAGTTTAGTGGCTCCCTTCGCCTACCGGCTCCGGTCGCCTAACTCGAGGTCCGGAGTTGGGCTAAAATAGCTAACCTAACCGGKGGAGGGGGTTGGCGACCCCTACGGGGTCGCGGGAGGGGGGCGAGCATCCCTGCCCTYCGGGCAGACGGGTAACCTAACTTAACCGCCCTTATCCCTTAACTTAACCTAACCGGTCACACTGAGTAATGAGTTTAATGTTTAATCAGTTTGTTGAATCAGTGTAAACAGAATCAGCAACTCACAATTTAAATGACTCGGTAACTAGTGTTTTCACACTAGTCCCGTGATAAGAAACCATCTAACCACACTGTTATAACTAACGATTAGGTACTATTGATACAATGGAAAAAAGTGCAAAATTTTTTTCCTCGACAATCAGGTTTAAACTCGGGTCATTCACCATGACGAAGTCATCACAATACCACTGGGTCACGATGGCTCGTTCGACTTCGGTGAATTTTCTAAGTTATTTAAAACATAATACACTTAACTTTGGAGGGTTATAACTTCGAAACTATGTCCAAGCCCCAAATTCTGACTCCGTCATCGTTTTCAGCGTATTTAACTACATAGGTTTCAAAAAAAAAAAAAATTGCAAAAAAAAGGGTGCCCGGTAAAGTAGAAATATACCTTCATAAATATTCATACTAGTAATAATAACCAAGTATTAATTCAGTAACGTTCATAAACTTATCTAAAATATTATAAAAGCTAAAATATATGTGTTAATCTATAGGATAGATAAACTATCTATAATATTAAAATAATATACCTATTAAATATTGTGTTAAGTATCTAGAATTAGTTTGAATTTTTCATTGTTCATTTCTTGTACTTTCTAAAAAATCCAACCAATTCGAAAATTTAAAATAGTAGTAAGTGGGAGGTGGGTCCTTAGAGTGGTGGCCACCGCTGTTACTCCGCCACGTCCCACCGAGTCAACACCACCGTTACCACAACCACTCCATTAATATCATCACCGCCTCCTCTACCGACAATAACACCACCTGCCTTTCATTAAATTTGTAAACCAATAATATAAACTAAATAAGGTTTACATTGTAGGTGGAACTAACGGGGTGGATATTTTGGAATATATGGGTCGTTAATTATTATTATGTAATTTTTCTGAATACAAATTATCACCTTTGCTTTTATATTATTTATTATAAATAAATTATTATATTATTTTCATGGGTATTATTTTCACGGGTATTTTTTTCTAGGGTATTTTTCATACCGGGTATTTTTTCCAATTACCATTCGACTCACCCTAATAAACATCTGCAGTTCATGCTTTTTTAAAATTGAGAAAAATTGAATTTCAATGTACCATATGTATTTATATATTAGTAGGTAGCTAAATTAAAAAAAAAAAAAAGCGGGTAAGTGGGTATCGCTCTGCTGTACATAATTGGTGGTGGGGTGGACCTCTGACTAGGCTATGTTAAATTTGCATGCAATGATAGGTATCATTGTACCTATACCAAAATGATTCTGAACGGAGACGGTTTATCTGTCTAGGATATATTATAGATTATTAAAAATTTTCAAATCTTAGATTTAGAAAGAAAATTGTTTATGAATTTCTAGCTTAAAATAATTTGCGAATTTTCGTGATTTTTAGGTATGTTGTCAAAACTAAAATTTAAATGCTTGTTAAAAAAAATGTGACTATGCATTCCTTTTATTTTTCAACTGCTTTTGTAAAAATATTTTAGGAACCTTGTATTAAATTTTCAAATGTTAGATATAAAAGGAAAATTTTTTATGAATTTCTATGATAAAATAATTTACGAATTTTTGCGATTTTTACGTATATTGTCAAAATTAAAATTTGAACGCATGTAAAAAAAAAAATGTTGGCTATATATTTCTTTTATTTATCAACTGCTGTTGTTACAATGTGTTAGGAGCCTTGTATTAAATTCTCAAATCTTAGAATTAAAAAGAAAAACTTTTATGAATTTCGATCAAGATAATTTGCGAATTGCCATAATTTTTACGTATKAAGTCAATATTTGAACATCAAATGCTATTAAAAAAAAATTGTGCCTATGTATTTTTATAATTTTTTAATCACTATAAGGATAACTTATGAGGAACTTTGTATTAAATTTTCAAGTATTTTGATAGGGCCAAAAAAATTTTATCRACACTTCMAAAWAAAATKTTCAGAAAAATTGAAAATTTCAGTTGTCTATAAATATCTCAATAAAAGTCAAAATATTTTGAAAATTAAATCATGTAAAGAAAATGACAATCTAAATAACTGGAAAAATTATCAAGTATCTAAGACATATACTTTTTGAATAATAACAAATAGTAAAAATCATTTGAGGATAAATCGTTAT